ATCAATGTTTGTCTAAACAAGTATGCCACAGGGAAGCCGGATTCATTCAGCCATAGCAAACATGAGCAAAGGCTGTATAAACTTGAGTGTTACTGTCACGTGACGCACAAATGTGGGCGTAGTGTGTGCAACATCAGCCACTGCAAGACTACCTTGCAACGTGGACAACCGCAGTACTCCATCCAAGTACCATCAACTAAAGTACAACTTGCACGACCAAAATTGGGATTCACTGAAGCGGAAAAAATAACCCGTACAGTTTGAATTACGGAACAGGTGAAAAAGTTGCGGAGATGTCTTTCCAGAACAAAGACTAAAAAAGTAACTGCGTGCAAATGAAGCGAGAAAATTTCGTTCCTTAGTCACAGTTTCTCCCCAAGATCACGGGATCAAGTTGGACGGCTGCGTTCAAGACCTCAAGTCCGCGTTTTGTGAATACGGTATTGGCAACACGCCCTCGAAATAGGATGAGATATTCCTAGGTGGTTGGCGACGAATGGAGATTCAGCCTTTGCCTTGTCAGTTTCGATTTACATTCTTGAAATTCGCTTAATTTTTTTGCATCAACGGAAGTATATGGAATTTTTTGTAAGCAGTTAATTAATATTACATCGGTTAGTGTGTTATTCTCATCTTACTGGATAGTAAGATAGATGTTTGGGTCAGGTGTAGGAGAACAAAGTTAGTTTACACTTTGGATGCACAGTATTTCTCTTGAAAAGGCACCCGCCTCTAAGGAAACAGTAGGCGATTTTTTGAAATATTACCTTCTTGGGTGTGAATTGACTGGATGCATCACAAAGTTGGCAGATATTTTATGTCAATCAACGCTCGAAATTCTCAGTTTGGCCGGCAGGGGTGCATTGATTGGCGATTTCCATGGTCACGTCTGTCCGGATCAATGTCTACCTCTTGATGCAGTTCCTAATGTCATGTGACGTTCAAGGTAATGCCTTTTTCCCTGATTTTTACCCTCAACTATTTTAATTTTGTGTGATTTCAGTTCCATTGACTCTGTTATCTCGTGTCCTCATTCGCTGATGCCCACGTGACCTTTGAGCTTGGCATCCCTCGCCGTCGTAGTGAGGTCGATGTTGGAGTGACCTTTATCCTTCAGAATTCCGTCCTGTGACCTTTATCGATGACACCGAGGAGTTCCTTGTTTCTTCGTTTGTGAATCCAATATTCGGTTCTCCTTGAGTATTCCGGTTGCGATGTTAGTCTTTTGCACGTAGAGGTGCGTAAATTGGATCCAGTTCGATGCACCGGTTGATCGAATCTGCCGTGGGGTACCATGCTTCTGGAAATTCTCTTCCTTGTCGCGTGTTTCCGTATGCCAAAATTTTCGAGTTTTCCAGATTGGATTTGTGACT